GGGGGGCGGGGGTGGGGCGGCAGACGGGCCGGGCGGGCTGGCCCCGTGTCTCCCGGGTGACAATGGTTTCTTTTGTCTTGCGGCGTAATTTGTGGCTTTCGGTTAGAGGGCCTCAGTGTGGGAGCGTGGCTCAGCGCGGGTCAGGCCGTTAGCGTGAGGAGTCGCCCGGAGGTAGCTATTGTTTTCCTGCCCTGTCCTTCCAGCTCCCGCTTCCCGATGCTGTGAGGCGAGGCCTGAGAGAAGGGGACCGCGGGGTGCCGGGATGCCGCCGGGGGACCACCGCAGCCTCTCCCTCGTCCTGGGAACACCTCTCCCGCCTGGGGGAGAGGAGGGAGCGAACGCCCAGAGCAGGGCCTGCGCCTTTTCCCCGCTTTGGCACTTGCAGTTGGCTCATGGGTTTGTGGTATTCGGTTTCAGGCTTAGGGATTTCAACCAGCCGGCGCTGCTCCTGGGAGGAAGGAAGAGTGAGCTATACTTTTCTCATTGGCCCGAACAAAAAACAGAAGCCTCTGCTGGGGTTTGGGAGTGGTTTATGGGCTGAGCTCAGTGGCAGGGGAGCCCTTGCAATGCCAGAGGGAATAGAGCCGTATGGTGCGCTGTACCTATTGCGAGAGAAAAGGAGCTAAGCTGAGGGTAATGCTGCCTCTGCGTGTGCTTGCGCGTCTCCCTCGAGTTCATGTGCATGTACGTTGCGCCTCTGCGTTCCCCTGCCCGTGTGTGGGTGCCTGCGCCAGGGTGCGATCGCATCCCGGCGTGTCCGCCGCTGTCTTTGTTTCGCTGTTTGCTTGCGGGTTTGTAGCGATGCGTGGCGAGTGCATTGTGGGTTTGCCTGGGAGCGTGGTCTCTGCGCTGGCTCATGGAGCCGTGTCTCTGTGTTGTTTCTGTGTTCCCAGCTCTCTGTGTTTGCTTAGTGGTTTAGCTTCGTTTGTATCCTCTCCCTCTCTCTTTTTTGGGGGGGATCTCTGTGTTTGTTCTTCCCTGTGAGTTTGCAGGTTACTCCATGTTTCTTCGCATCGTTTCTCTTAACAAATTTCTCCAGATTTTCTGGGGGGAAAGTTCCCCTTTCCCCACACCGCAAATCCTTCCTCCAGAATAATGATACATTAACTTGAACAATTTCAGGCTCATGGAGAGCACAAAACAAACTCTTCAGTGGGGAAGGGAAGGTTCCCCACAGCAGATTACAAGCAGCTGCATGTTTTAAAACCCTAACTGAGGCTGTGCAGGGAGGTGAAGTGGAGTATGCAAGGATTGGATGTGGTAGCAGTTGTGAAAAAAATTAAAGTTGGGGCATCTTTTGCATCGCTGGTATTTTCAGGGTGTAACTCTGGTCAGATTGGCTCCCTGTGCCCTCCTTGGCATTGTGTTCCTGTAACCCACTTTACCTGCTCTGGCCCAGAGTGCTGAAGGCAGAGAGCTGCGACCAGAGCACGCAGTGGGATGTAGTTTCTAGATTTCTTTCAACATGGATGCTGTCTTACAGCTTTTTTCCTCTTTTTTTTTTTTTTTTTAATGTTCGTTGTTGGTTTTTTTTTAACGTTTGTTATGGAGAAACCTGAAAAGTTGAGTCGTTCCCCAGATTAGCAGCTGTTAGTGACGAGAAGCCGCTTGCTGAGGTTGGAGCTGAGCGGTGTATAAGATTAGCCGTGGCATGGAGCTGTGCTGGGACCATGTGACTGCGGTGTACATTGGAAGAGGAAGCTGTAGAGGTCAATGCAAAGGCATTGTGCCAGACTCTGGCAACAAGGGAGAGTGCTGTATGGCGGAAGGTCCCTTTTTCAGGCTCTGAGCCTTTCGGTAGCTGTTGGGGTTGGACAAAAGCAGCCCTGTAAGATTAACAGCAGAAATTACATATGGCATGGCTCGTTTGTGGATGGAAAGAAAAACTGGGTTTGTGTTTTTTTTTTTCCCCAAATGCTTTGTAGGTTTTTATTAATCGCCATATGTGGCTCTTTCACTAAAACCACCTTTATTGGAGTGGGAATTGTGTTTAGAGGAGTTTCAAGAAAACAGAGGGAAAATGGGGAAAAACAAGGGGAGGGAAAAAAAAAAAGAAGAGTTGCGTGTTCACACGTATCTTTGCCTTGGTGTTTTCTCACAAAACTAAATTTTAAGCACTTTGATTTGACAGAGAATTCAATCCTGTTATTTCCTCTCTGAATACAAACAGATCGACAGCTTCAAGTTTAGATTATTGACTGCTGAGGAATAAACAAAACCAGCTCATGCTTAGGCCATTTATGCTCTCTCAGAATATCTGAATACAAATGGGTAACTGTTGGTAGGTAGCACTGTCTTAGAAAAATTTTGTTAGTATGATGTGTTTTACATCTGACCTTTTGGAAACTGAAAATAATTGATTCCATAAGGATTTGAATTTTTTTACTTTAAATCAACATGAACCTCTTAATACTCCACACTGCCCACAAACTGAGAATTTCCATGTTGGTTTTTTTTTTGTTTTATGAGCAATTATTCAATCTGTGACTTTTTGCAGTTTGGCTGGAAGAAAGGCAACTTCCTTTCTGGGCTTCTTTTATTGTTTTTAAATTCTATCTGACTTGTAATCAACAACATCTTGGTAGAGAAAACATAAAAGGAGAAATTTAAAAAAAATGTATTTGGGAGGGAAGGACTCATATTTTGAAATGGAGCATATTGAGAGTCTAGACAGCTTCTTGGCTAGCTGTGATTTTTGAAGCATCTGAAATACCCCAGGGGCAGAAAAAGCTCTTTTCCTGCTTCTGAAGGATTAAAAAAAATAAAATTAAATAAAAAAATTCCAGAGTGGGCAAGAGGAGAGACGTGTAATTGCACAAGGAGAGGTTTTAATTGTGAGATGAAGGCACAGGACCTTTTTTGAAGCCCACAAATTGACTGTCTTCATGACAGCATTGCGTATCATTCTGTCAACTCCGGCTCGGGATGTGGTTGCTAGGCAGCGGGCTCTTATGGACCTATAGTCTCTCTGATTTGCCAGCCTTCTGCAGACACATGGTAAGGTCCTTTCCAGCCTATCATCTAGAGGGACTTTTGCACGCCGTCTGCATACTGCTGAGATTCTCTCTACCTGAATGTGATGAGAAAAAGACACAGTTAAATGAAACCTTTTTTCTTTTTTTTCTTTTCCTTTTCTTTGCCTTTTTTTTTTTTTTTTTCCAAATCCCACGCTGGTACTGTTTCCATAACCCCCCTCAAAACCAAACCAAAACAAAAAAAAAAGCCATGAAACGGAGACCGGAACAAGGAAAAGAGGTTAGTGGGTTAAGTGGTGTGTGTTTCCTGCGTTTGCAAAGGTGCCTATAGTGAGAAGGGCGGCTGTAATTCGGCCATTAGTTACAGATGGTGGCTGGAGGCTTGAGATTCATGCAGCGAGATGAGAGCTCTCATATCTCTTTCCAGCGATGCCGACTTTAAACTGCTTTGAAAACCTGAATCAAGACGGCATAAAAAATAGTGGATTTGATACTTAGCGATGCTGCCAGCTGGTTCCTTTATGTGTTTTGATGCAGAGATGCCTAGAAATGTGAACAAAAAGGAGTTAATTTGCCAAATTAGGTTTCTGTCCCCCAATCCTTGCAAAAATGGCATTAGTGGCAAGTAGGTAAAGAACGTTCAGGAGGATTTATAAGCAAATTAGATTTTTCAAAACTTTGCGCTTTGAAGCAATTTGTGAGCAACTTTCAGTGAAGGTTATGTCTCTCAAGTGGTGAAGGAGAGCATTAAACAGATCACCCTGGGGACTGGAAGTGGCATAAGAAATATTTCTGAACAGCATAACTTTTTAATGTTTTTTCCATTCCTTAACTCTGAAAGCTGTCGCTCCAGCTGTGTGAACAGCAAACTCAAACGTGGAGATACACATTTTTCAGCAGAAACCTACTTATAGTTAGTTCATGAGGCAAACCCCAGTTCTATGAATGCAGAAACTTAATTGGTGGAAGCACTATCGCACATGCAGTTAACCTCTGCAAATTAAGACGTGAAAAATACTGTTTCAGACTGATTCATTTTTGTCCTTCACTCTGCTTACAGGTACTGTTTGATGAGTGTGAAAGGATGCTTCACTGATTTTCATATTGATTTTGGTGGCACTTCAGTGTGGTATCACGTTTTCCGTGGGGGGAAGGTAGGTGAACCTTGCTTGATATTTGTTTTTATTTCTCTGTGCCTCTTATGGAGGGGAGGGGTTGCTTTCCTTTATTTTTCTTTTTTTTTTCCTTCTTTTTGCGGGGGAGTGGGAGGGAGCTAGTCAGCGATCAGTCTATTTCAGCTAGCTTTGTTCATGTACACGGAGTTTGCTGAACTAGAAGGACACCATTCACCTTTAGGAAACAAACAACTGATTTATTTGAAGTATCGAATGCGCTACATGCTGTCGGTGGTGCTTTTAGGCTTGCTATTGCTGCACGGTTTAGAAGTGTCTTGCAGTGAGTGTGTGTGTACCCTTGTTGGGTCAGAGTGCCCTCACAGGTCTCCTTCTGTAGCTAGAGCTTCTGTTTCCTTTTAGAGATTCCATGTTCCTTTAGTGTACCCATGCACACTGTGCTGGAACTGAAATATTACAGAAGCATGAAAATACACAGCATGGATGGCTACATTCACATCTTTACTGTTTTAGGTTGCTTTTCCCAGTTCTAGGATAGACAGCGTATGGTGGGAACTGAAATAAATACAGCACGTTGAACACCTCTGTGATACAGATATTGTTCATCTGCATAGTCCAATGAAGTTGTACTATACCAAGGCACGGTTTTGAACTGAAAGTAAACTGTGCAGGCATCTTCCGAGTAAGATGTTTCATGGCAGAGAGATGACAGCTGACAGTTATCTTGCCACTTCCAGCACATGGACTAATTGCTGCTGCTGTCTGCTGCGTGCCTCTGTGTGCAGCACCTGGGAAACATGTGTTTTGTGCGGAAAGCGGGCTTGGTGCGACGCATTCGTTTGTCTAACACATGATAACCTCGTTGGAATCTCTTAGCTATTTATTTTTGTTGACTGTTGGTAACAGTTAAATCTTTCTTTTATTTTTAGATCTTCTGGCTGATTCCGCCTACTCTGCAGAATCTAGAACTTTATGAAGAATGGGTTCTCTCAGGAAAGCAAAGTGATATCTTTCTGGGAGACAGGGTGGAACGGTGCCAAAGAATTGAGCTGAAACAAGGCTATACGTTCTTCATTCCTTCAGGTATCACTTGTTAACTAATGTGGTTTTGCAATTACTGGAATTGCATTTGACTAACAGTTCCGTGTAAAACAATTCTTCACGTCTAAGCCCCATATTGACCTCTTTATTTGCTGTGGCAAGAGAAAGGCTAGGGACTGAATGCACTTAATTTTCCAGAAATTGACCCATCCAGAATGATGAAAATCGTGCTGTGAGGAAATGTGTGCAGTGATCACCTGTGCTGGGCAAAAGGAGAGAGGACCTGGGTCTCTGGGGCTGTCAGTCCACCACTTTTCATCAGAGTCATACCGACTTCTGCCGTTGTTAGCTTTCTTGGAAAAATATTTTTCTAGTTTTGTGATCTCTTCTGGCAGGTTTCACCTGCAGTTCAGTTACTTACTTCATTGTCTCTGACTGTAGGCAGAGGTGGGTCTTGATTCCCTGATGGAGGTTAGTGGAGATTGCAGTCCGTGGAAGAGCAGGCGCTGTGCTCCCTCAGGATTGCTTCTTGGGGAAACAACTTCATTTTATTGTCATAACTCTTCAGAATTTCTGCTGATGGAGACTGTGCTGAATCTGGACATCTTCCAGTAGCCCAGCCACACTTAATTTTTACACTACTGCCCACCTCAGTAGCTGTGTTGCATGATTCAGGCTCTTCTTGCAAAGCGACCATATAGTTGCTGCTTTGAAGGCTGGTGGCTTCAGCCCTTTCTGCTCTGCCTAAATTGGATTAAGGATGGTGCAATCTGTAACACTGCTCATTTAAGATGGTATCAGCCCTTGCTTTCTTTGTCTATTATGGGACCATGAGTTTGTTTATAATGATACAACACATTGCCTCTGTCTAGTGGATCTTACCAGGGGCATAAATACATACAGCCTTTCTACATGACAGGTTGGTAGTTTTGCAGCTCTAGAGTTACTCTGTGGAGATAGGATTATTATTTTTTAATCCTGGAGACAGAATACAGGTCATGTGAAGACAGCAACAATGTTCTTACCAACTAGGGAGTGTTGTTAGTATCAGTTGAAGGCCACAAATTTGCACACTTGTATTTGGTAGGAATCAGCCTGGGAGGTGACAGGCAAAATGACTTTGAGGGTGGAGGAGTTAATCCATTAAAGGAATTAGGTCTTCCCTTGAAACAGGTCAGAATGTGCTGTTACTGTTTGAACTGGGTGTTTGAGTGTGCCTGTGCTGTTTGCTTAGATCCTGTTACTGCATCTTCATATTTATCTTCGTTCCCCTGTGAACAGCCTCCTACGAATAAGACTTTCTGTATGTTAGTTTAGTCATGCTCAGCAGTTGGAATACAGCAAGTTGTGGGAGCTTGTACAGGACACAGCTGTAACATGGTGGCTGAAGTGAAGTGATTCCAAATGTGGTTCTTGACTGTAGTTTCTATTTTCTCAGGAAAGTCCAAATTACAGAAATGCCAATACTTCAGACATTTTAGGCTCCATGCCATATTTGAGAGGCATATATGAATAATTTCTCTGTAAGCACCTCATGGATTCAAGGGGTTTTGCTCTGCTGTATTTTGTTTGGAAAACTTATTTGCAAGTCTCTTATTTATGTGAAAGGGCATTATTTCCGTGTTTGTTTTAGGACTATGGAAATGCCTAATTAAAGTCTGTTCCAGGTCAGTGAATTGAGTGTAGCTGTGTAAAACAGGTCAATTTCTACGACCTTTTTGCTCTGGTTTGTGCACGTATCACATCAGTGAATGTTTGAATGTGTTTTGTATGCACTTTATAAGTGTTTGTAGTGTTTAGGTTCTGCTAATGGGTGTCTGTAAAACCAGTGTGCCCCATACTTCCAGTTGAGCGTGGTAAACTGCTGACCAGCCTCAACTCATCCGTGAGGAAAATACCTTCTAATTACGGGCCTGGTCACAGAAAGTGTAGGGTGATAGAGCTGGTGCTCAGCTGGACTGTGAATGGGGAGAACATTTCAGCAAAGGACCTTTTCCATAAAATATCCTGCTCTGCTCCTGTTTTCAAGTCATTTGCGGGGGGTGGGTCCTAGAAATGCTATTATACCATAGCAGTGTAAGGATGAAGTAAGTAGAGAAGACTGTAACAAGACGCATGAGGGAGTGAGATCACAGGCTTGTGGGAGATGGAAGGTTTCTTTGAGAATCTGGGATCAGCAGTAGATCCAGTAAATCCCTGAAACTACAAACCACTTGGACAAGAATGGAATTATTCTTATAGAAGGCATAATTATAGTGCTCACCAGGGCCTCGGGGTATTTTCCTCTCCATCACTGCCATCATCCTTTCAGGATTAAGTTTAAACCAGTTAATTTCTGCCTGTGCTTTTAACCCTGCAGAGCACTAAGGGGCACAGTCACCAGCTGTAGTATCAAGGAGAAATTGAGCAAAGTATTGTCAGCATAGTGGGTTGTTATGGGCCAAGATGCATCTTGCAACATTTTAGGAGTCCCTCCTGAGTACAGGGTGGGGGGAAGTATGCTGAGATTCTGAGGGATACTGTGTCTGGGGCCTTGTGTAGGAGCCAAGCTGTACTCCTGATGGCCCCATAGGACTTCTCCAAACAAGCAACACACCGTTACAAGTTCTCACCTCCCACTTTACCAGTTCCCACTGATGAGTCAAGGATGATCAACTCTGGTAAAGTCTGCGGTAAAGTGATAAAATCAGCTAGGAACCTGGCCTTTTCCTTTAATACAATTCTCTCAACTGATGCCAGCATAATTGCAGATTGAGAAACAGAACACGTTGTGCCACGGTGCGGTTTATGGCCAGATGTGGATTCAAGATGTTAAAACAGCTGAAGGTTCAAGAGGGGAGGAAGCTGTAGTTGCTACCAGTGTCAGCAAGTGATTTTTTTTTTTTTTTAGAAATCTTGTCTGTTGTTTTCCCAGGGTAGGAGAGAACTTGTACTTCTGCAGGAAGGCATTAGTAAAGAATGCTGCAGCTCTGGGGTGGTTGCACTGTGTATATTACCATGAGCAATGTTTAATCTTTCATATGGTTAAGTGTTCAACACAGATGAAATTTGGTCAAGGCAACACACCTTACTCTGGAATAGCAGACGGTGCTGCGTATCTGACCCACCTGCCAAATAGAAGGGAAATTCTTTATAGTGTCCTTGTCTCTTCAGGTATAAACTGTGATGATCTGGAAGAGGAAAAGCATAATCTCAGTGCTCAGTTATGGTCTCAGTAGGGAAACAACAACATTTTATCGGTCACAATCAAATCTAGAACTTGTCCAGTATTATTTGTGCTGTAGCTTTCTCCTGTAGAGTGTGTGGGTCCAATGAGGAGTTGCAGGGAGGATGTGTGAGTGTTTGGAGTCCGTTGTGGTGGTGTTATGGAGAAGCAGTTTTGTTGTCTCTCATCACTGTGCTGGGGACACGCAGAACCAGTGTTTGAGCAGTGTCCCTCAGATTTCTACAGCTCAGAATTACTGTAGGCACGTGTTTCTGGCTTCTGCGCAGCCACTCGTTCTGTTATGTCCTGATTGCTCCCCTACAGCCTGTTTGAAATACTGCTCACTAAGTTAATGCCAATGTGTTACCCAGGTTTATTAATATATTTAGTTCTTCTCCTTTTACTTTAAATATTTTTCTCCCTTTACGTCACTGCATAACTTTGCTGGAACCTTTCCTCTCTCCTCCTTTAGCCCTTCGCCTGCCACTCCAGTCTTCACGCTCTGTAAGCCATCTTTTACTTCTATCCTTGCACTTGTTTATTTCAAGTAGTGCATTATGCATTGAATTCCCTTTTGTCTCAATTCTTTGAACACCACTTTAGTTTCTCTTGTGTCCTTCTGAACGTCACTGTTGTTACCTAAACCCAAGCTCAAAACTAAGCATACACAAAAATGATAAAATCATCCTTTTTCAATCCACTTGCTCTTTTGAGTCTTTCAGTCTTGCTGAATATGTCATTTTGATCATAAGTGATGGAGCTCTGACATGGATATTGTCCTTCTCCTTCCCTCTTGTCCTCCACAAACCAGATCTTGCGATAGTTTGAAATATGTTAAGCTTGTTTGCTTTTTTTCTCAATTTCCTGCCAGGCCTCTCTCTCAGAAAAATGTCCTTTTCTTTCATGCATGGCTATATATGCTTGGTGTAGACACTAGCACTTCAAATTCAGGAGAGTTTGCACGTGCAAATTTGGGACATACAAAAGCAGGCCAACTAGTAGTCTCTTGTGGACAATTTGTCTTGCAGTATTTGTCTCTTGTTAATATTGTGAAGTAAGGGTGTAATCATCATGTGTCTTGAAAAGGTGAGGTCGAGCCAGTTCTAGATGGTTACTGATAATGTAGTCTGGCAGAATATGGATAAACTTGGATTTTCTTCTCTTTTTTGTGAGGACCAGTTTTGCTGGCCCCCAAGGAAGTTGCCACGCTTACTGTGGATACAGTCTGATTCCAGGGGTTGCAGTGTGATTGGGCTAAGAAAGTTTGCAAACATACTGGTTTTGGTTCTTTAGGAGCAGATGGCTGATACTACCAAGGGTTACTCTAATCATCCTCTGCTTCTTACAGTCTTTTGCTGAGCCTCTGCTGCTGGTCAGAGGCAGTAGACTCATGAGCAGGTATGTTTTGGGGGTGGCTCTGCATGGATGTTCTTACTGTGGGCTTTCCAAACACGTAGCTTTAATGCAAGTATGTTGGAGATGAGATGCTGTGATGTGTGTGCACTGGTAGTTTAGGGAGCTATGTTTGTGGGAGAGCACAAATCCTCAAGTAGCTGGGCCATTTTGAGTGACTTTTGCTGTTCTTTAAATCTGACAATAATGTTCTCAGTAACAGCCCACTACATGGTCCATAAAATAATGGTCCAAAAAGTCACTGTGCATTTATTATTTCTGAAAATAGAATAACAGACTGCCATTGGATATTGTAGAAGGCTTGTGCAGTGCTGATTTATTAGACATTCCTGTGATCGAAATCCAGACAGGGTAGCTTACTGTCAGCTGGACGTGGTGTTCCCTTCTGGTTCCTCTTCAGACTTCTCACTAGTGTTGCTGCAAG